TTAGTCTTTTATAGAACCTTAAAGACTGCAGACCAAAAGATGGGAATATTTTGCTCTACTACCACTTTCACAATCAGGAGTAAAACGGTGAAAGCTTCTGTCAAGCTTTTGTGCAATCTGTAAAAGGTCAGTTTTCCTTAATCTGATTGCTTTGCAGAACTCCTGCATGTCTTCCATGTCAGACTCCTTGAGCTTGTCTTCTGATTGCAAGGAGAACGATGAAATTGTGACACTCATCCAGTCCATTTTCAGGGCTCACTTAGCACGTACAGGACTGCTTGAGGAGAGGTAAGTGAGGAGCAGATATTTCTGCAATATACAGTAGCAAAATTGTTTTTATTACAGGAGAGGGGTCATTTTTTGATAGAGTTTCAGTATGGGTTCCTTGGCAGAGAAGGAGAACAAGGCCCTTAGCCCAATAAAAACAAGGGAGAGCTTGCTTGTGAGAAAATTCAAAGAGTATACAACTAAAAGAGTTTCTTGTTGCAGCAGTAGTCATCCCTTATCCTATTGCATGTTCTCTTCCATAGCAATGAGGAAAAGTAAAGTACAGTAATTACTCTTTGGGGGGAAAAAAATTGCAATGGCTATCAAACTGACTGCTAGGACATTCACTAAATGTAAGTGAATCCAGAGCCCTGACATGTAAAAGTTAAGGATTATGTGGAGTAAGAATCCCATCTTCCATAGAATCTAGTGACTTAGCTCAGGAAAAAATGCAGTGATTTGCTTACTGTTTAGGTTTATGGTGGCTTTGTCTTGAAAAATACTTTCTTTCTCTCTAAGGTTTACTGCTCCAGAAGTCTTTAATATTGGCTGCCATGGTTACAAGGAGAGTTACATGGTTGTCACCTCACTTTAGTGTCTGAGTTTGCTTCTGCAGGTGATAAGCTTTTACCTTTTAGAGGCTAGCAACACAAGAAACTTCTGCATACTCTCTGAAAACGGACTGTGATTCCTGTTCTGTACCTCACGCTGTGCAGTAATTCCTTTTGCAGGACTTCTGTGTCCAGTGCACCAAGTGAGAAAGCAGATTCTGCAGTTTACATTACAGAGAAGAAACTGGTCTCAGCAGCATGCCAGAGACAACCTTCAATCTTCATGTCATCTCTTCCTGGTAATCTCATTTCCTTCTGTGTTCAAAAGGTTGTCGGTTTTGTTGGGGTGCACACATGATTTTATAGAGAACATCTGCACATGCACACACATGTGCAAATGCACACTTGTACACTGTGTGTCTTCTTTTAATTGCATGACATGTTGCTTGTACTGCCAAGTGCAGTCCCTTAAATAAAAAATAAAAGCTCTGACAGTATCAGTACCAGCTTCCCCACAGTACTTTGCCTATCTGTCACAACTGTGGTTTGGAAAGTCTCTCTGGTGTGAGTAGTAATTATTCAAGGAACATGGTGTTCCCCTCTATTGCCTCTCCACTTCCTTTTTAATCCCCCCAGCCCTGCAGCTGCAGTGTGGTACTTTCCACTATGTCTTGGGCCCAAAGCCATATACAAGCTGCGAAGGTTCCACTGTCATGACTTAGTTTCTGAAGGGGACAGACATTTGGTAACAAGACGTGTATTTAGTCACGTTTTTTCAGCAGTTGTTGCAATAAGGAGAAAAATTTAAGTCCTGGATAACCTGCCAACTAGTACTACTATAATACAAACTGGGAAAATGTCTTTCTTTTTTATGGCTTTTATGCTGTTAGGTTTCCTTTTTGGATTCTTCATTGCTGCTTGTGAGGAGTTAAAGCCAAAGAGGCTTTTAAGAGGATGTTAGAAGTACAGAGTAGAAAATGGAAAACAATGATGCAGATAAGACAGCCTTAGACATGCAGCTTCAAAGGAGTTAAAAATTGAAAAAGGTTGATTCTAACCAGAGTAGGATATTTTAGGCTTTTATAGACCAGCTGGAGGAAAAAGAGCAACTTTGAGGGTGACCTGAGAAACATTGACTTGGCTTTTGTCTGTGAAAAGCTGACAGTCTCTGCAGACTTGCTCAGAAACAGAGCATGCTGTAAGCAACTGAGGCTGTTTCTCTAAGATAGGAGATGGGGAGTAAGCCAGATTTGCAAGGGTTGCGAATACTAAAGTTACCCTTCAGTGAAGGAAAATGTGTTTAAGAAACTTTAGTGTGTTCCATATTCAGGAGCATATTCTACTTTGTTAAGGAGTAGGTAGTGCTTGCTTCTGAAGATGTCACAGTGTGGAGTGATTTTTAGTTATGTCTAGTGACAGTATCCAGAAAAAGAATGCTGCAGCATCCTGTTTTGCCTGGGCTCTACTGCAGTAGTCATTATTGGTATGCTTAGTCTAAATCCAGAGTAAATCCGTTGTGAAATTCAATCCAAAGAATCACTTTAAAAAAAAAATGCGTTGTGCTTCTGAAGAAGTCCTTCTAAGACCCAAGGAAGGATGTAATGTGAAGCTAGTCTGGTAAATGCAGTAGTATGAATACTAAAAGAGCACAGCCACTATCTAGCTATGAAGTTGCCAAACTAACTTTTTATTGCAGGTTATGATGACAAAGTAATGAGTGAAGAAGTTCCGGAAAAAATTATACCAGAAGGGATAGAGAGGAGAGCAGAAGCACTCAATTTTTCTTTCTTGCAGTCCTTTTCTGGTGAAAATCAAAAAGGAGAAATTTGGAGCAAAGCAAGTTATATTTGCTGCTGATCTTACGAATATGGGAGGCGTTTTCAAAATCTGTGATGAGGATCACATGTGTTTAGTTAGCTTGTGAACAAGCATACTGGATATGTGCTTCTGTAACTGCACGACTGCCCAAAAGACTGCCGTGTACTAGGTAGCTCTGTGAAGTATTAGCTCTTGGTGCATTGGAGGGTTTAACCAACCTCGCCCAAAAGGCAAATTGGTAAAAACTTACTAAAGGAAGCAGAGCATTCGGGTATAAATGCTGCCTCTATGAAGCAACGTAATCCCATGGCAATCTGTTTGGTTATAGCAGGTTTTTTACTGTTTGAATTCATGTGACTTAAACAGGTTAAAGTTAAGTAAAAGTCCAACATCTGTCATTCCTAGCTCATGACTGATGTAAAAATCCACTTGCAAAACTGGGTTTTGATGTAACATATATCACTGGTCATCCTGCAGCTTGGAAAGTACATGAGACAAGGAGCTTTTTTTAACAGCTAGTGATTTAAAGCTATCAAATTCCTTTAGGTTTAAATCATGCAGCTGTTGAACAAGCTCTTCCTTTATTTGTCCCAAGTCCAGACTTGCATTTTTTGACCTCTCGATCTTGCAGTGATCTTAAACTTTCAGTGAAAGTATGTATTGCAATGTCATTTAACTTCACTAGCCTTTTGGCATTATTTTGAGAGGAATGGGAAAGAAGAAAGTGTGTTTTAAAGAACCATATATATGTTTTCATATATGTGTGTATATATATATATATCTCTCCTTGCAGATTTTTAATTCATTGTTTGCATCAGATTAGATGTCTCTGTTTTCTTAAAAAAAAACAAACAAAAAAAAAAACAAACCCCAAAAAACAACAAAAGTGGTGTAGCATTAAATGCTGCTTTGTTTTTATTCAGTGTGGATGGTACTTGGAAACGTGTAAAGCCATTTCTGCTGCTTCCGATGAAATGGAACAGATAATAACAATTCAGTCTGTGAAACTTACCATTTTGTTTCTTTTTATCAGAGGAGTGGCAGGAAGGAAGAATATGTTCTGTACCTGCACAGCAATTTTGAATAAGGGCAGCATTTTTCTCTGCATATCTACCCACTCTGGATACAACTATTAACTTAATTTGAGGCTTTTTTGAAATCATCACAAATTTACATACAACCCTTAGCTCTAATCAGTGCTTACCCCCTTCACAAGCACAAAGATACAGTTGTCACTCTGAAGTATATTAAACTGAAAATGAGGACAAGAAAATTTCAGACATCAAGAGCAGGATATAATCAAGAGTGATTTAGACAATGTTATGCTATTTCATATAAAATATCTCTTTATTTTTGGAGTTGCATCTTCTAGTTACCATGCCTGCTTTTGGAAGTTCTCTTTGCTCATGCTTATCACCAGTACTACTGGCTCATAAACCTTCCTGATTTAGTGATTATTTGTTGACGGATGCAGAGAAGAATTTCACTTAAGTACAGAGTCATGTGTTCCTGCCTCTGTAGGTTGAGGTCAGCGTAATGGCCTCCCTGCATTCCTCCTTCCCATTCACAGGCTCTCTGTCTGTCACTCTCTTTCCATTTCTGGGCTGGTTGTGGTCCCCTTTTTTTATTCCACATTCCAGTTGCTGTGTACGCCTCCTCTTCCATACCAGGAGGGGTTTTTTTCTGTGTCAGGAACCTCTTATTTCACTACCCATGGCATGTCTGGTCCTCTCCCCAAGTCCATATTCTCTGTGTGCCCTCCATTTTCCCTTCCATTTCTGTGTCAAAATCTTAGTGGATGGCTTCTTACTTGTCTGTTTCCTCTTTCTACCACAGGTTGTCTTGACTTGTTTTCTTCTCTGGGAGTTAGTGTTTTCAGAGAACTGGTATTTTAAACTGAAAAATAAGTGGAGCTGGGGGGAGAATATTGTGCAAGGAGATGTTAATAGCTGTCATCATTTAGTTCATAGATCTCTTGCAGAAGGGATACAAGCTGTTGGTTCTGCTCATCAGATGTTAGTGGCCTTGAATATATCCATTTTATCCCTCTGATGTTCCAGTATTTACTGGAATCATTAGGGTTCTATCTGTTAATGCTCTAAATGTTTCTTCAAATGTTGGAATCTATGAGATGCATAGAACCACGCATCCAGAAAACCAGCAAAGAAGCAAAAGGAGGGGGTTGGGTGGGTGGGAATAAAATAATGGTGTAGTCACCATTTTTATTGTCATTAAGTAAGGTATTACAGCATGTGAGTAATATTTTTGGTATTTTACAGATAAAAGGATGAAAGACAGTCACTGAGATCTTCCATCCTTTTTTTCCCTCACTGATTTTCATTTTCTCTGTCTATATCTGACTCAAGTTCTCATTGTGACCTTTCTGCTTAGCTTAAGCTTGCTTGAGTCAATTTTTTCCTTTTCTGGCCATCTAATAAATATTTATTTTTATGACCTGAGGTGGCTTCAGTATTGAATTGCTTTACTTTGTGGTGTGTAACCACTTGCAAAGATTTAAAGACAATACGACAAATCACGCATGGTCAGTATGTCAACGCTTGCCGTGCTTGCTGTTTCATTGAAGAGGAACGGGAATAGTTATGTGCAGAAAAAGATAGATCAGAGGTATTCGTAACTGTAAGTAATTCTGGAAACTTAATGACTCAGAGAATATTACACTTCCCACAAGGGCTTGTTTTTGTCAATGTTGTTTATTGATGACCTTGTTTCCTTTGTAATTATTTCAGCCAGGTCCTGTGAGAAGCAATCGCAGCCAACTCCCTCCCTGTCTGTGGATGACGCTCACTCAGACGATTCAGATGATATTGTCATTGTCTCTCCGTTGTTGCAGATGAAGAAACACTACACCCACTTTTAAGTTTTGGTAACGGGCTCTGGTGATCATGAATTACTTGATTCACAAACAAAATGTTTGTACTGAGTTGAAGCACATAAATTATGAAAAAAGGGGGAATATCAGCCCCTTTTTAATGACAGTTGTCATTATTTCAGCCATAAGTGCGTAACGGTTTGATACGTCATCTCTGCAGACTTTGGCTGACTGTTAACCTTATCCTCCTGGTATGCAGAGAGTTTGATTTTTAAAAACTAAAACAAAACACTTTAATGTTTTGTCTCACAATGAGGATTATAAATTCAGCTGCCAAATTTAAATGAAAGGAATAAACCCTTAAGCAATTTCATGTCAACCAAAGTTTTGTTTCAGGTCGACTAAATTCTTTTAATTGGAAAGTGGTTAATGACATGGCTCCAATTTTCAGCCTGTATACATGAAGGGGAACAGCTTGTATTTGTTACCATGTCCTCTCTATTTAAAAATTTTACTGTGTCGTATTTTAATATCTTTTTAAAATATTTTTATACTGAACATTTACAGTCTGTGTAGACCTTGTAAAGGCTTTTAGAAAGCCATTTCTTTGTCATAGGGCTATTCTAGGCCTACTGTATCAGCAGGTTTTTCTTATTTATTGCTTTTCCAAGTGTGCTTGCTATGATATGTATAGTACTGTTTTGTATTTGAAATGTCCAATCACGTAATCAAATTTGTATTTGTTAGAGAAGGTGCGTAATAACAGGAGTGTTCCATGAAAGGTACCCTTGTGGGTGTTTTTTCTGCTTGTGTATCACAAGTAGGAGTGTACTGTGCAGGATCATCTCTAATATGTGAAAACATTTGACGTAGGAGAAACATAAGCTAAAACAGGACATAAAGCAGCCTCACCTGACTGCTTGAAACGTTCCCCTAGATTGCTCATACGCTGAGCACTAAAGGGTTTCAAGTCTAATGTTGCTTTGCTGTTATGTTTTCTCAGTACTCCTTTTGCATGTGCACACATTATATGTGTGTAGATATATATACACACACGCATGCATACTGTGAGTGCACAGTAAGACCAGTTGCAGGCTGGGAAGAGGGTTCACAGTCCACAGCCATCTTCTGTCATCGGGTAAAGCTACGATGCTGACCGCTGGGAAGCATGGGCACTACCCACTCTCCTTCTGAGGGGTAGAGATTAGGATGAGCGCAATATGCAAAACCTAAGCCATGCAGTTTGGTTTAGGAACAGAAGTGGTAGGTCGGATTATAATAGAAATGAAGACTGCATCCAGACATAACACTATTTGACAATATTGTTGTCCACAGAAGAGCTAAAGACATAGTGGGCTGTGGAAAATATGGTCAGATGGTTCCAGATCTTTTATGCAGACCGTATCCTTTCTTGACTTGAAGTACGACCTCTTAGTTCCTACTGTCATACCAGCACGCTTCATAGGCATTAAAACGTGTGTGGTTTATTTAAGGGTGAACTAGATAAATTATATGATGTTTACTGGAAGGAGAATTTAATTTTACAAACACATGGTGAAGTTTTTGTGGAGACCTTAATGGTTTCTTTGTCATCAAGCAGTAATAAAGCCTCCTGTAAACAGAAAGCACATTTTTAAATGTAAGATTTTTATCACCTTTTCCCTCTTCTTTTTAAAATTAAAAATCAGCCTCCACTGTTTTGCAGAATACTAATAAGTCAGAGCTGTCTCAGTTCTTTCATTTCAATGAAGCACTATCTGAGGCTTATCATAGTTCATGCCAGTGCTTGCAGCCAAAGAGGAAACTGGATGGCTGCAGCACAATGCAGCTGATTTCATTTAATCCCATCAGTGGAAATGCTGCCTGTGCTATTTCCAAAGGCAGTTTTGGGAGCTCTCCATACCCAAAGCAGTCTGAAGAATGTCATCTACATGCCCATTGGGTAAATTTTTCCTGCTGGTGCTTTGGTCACATGACTGTCATCTGCAGAAAGGATTCAAAAATATATAAAATAATAAAGGGATAGAATCCTCTTGGCAGAAGCTGAGATCTGTTTCCCTCTTTTTCTGGAAGTCATGTCATGGAAAAGAGTCATTTTGCTAAATAGAAGCAGTGCTACGTTGAGTTGCTTATGTATAATATTTCAAGAGTGAAACTGTGACCCTGACATAGATACCTCCAGAGAGAGCAACTAGAGCTGAGGACTCTGACACATTAAGGAGAGAGTGAGTAGTGTGTCAGGAACAAAAGTGATACAAAATACCTACATAGCTGTTACCCTGTAGGAAAATACTTGGACAGCAAATGTAATGAAGATGACATTCTTGTACTTTACTGTGCTGTAATAACCAATAAGAAAGTACTAAGAAGTACATACAGAGCAGAAAGGCTTGCATTTTAACTGAGCATATCACTAGCAGTAGTGCTGTCAGTAGGCAAGTTCTGGGATAAAGGGAAGATAGTATATTGCTATGACCCAAAGACCCAGATAGAAATCAGGGTGAAAAGGAGCAAATATTTTCTGGGATGAAAGAAAATGTGTCTAGAGCTTCCTAAATTTGAGTCTGCTATCTCCTAGTTATCAAAATCCTGATACTTAACTTGAGCTGGGCTTCAAAGTCCTGTCTTGGTTTGGAAGGTAACTGTATGCTCACTGTACATCAAAAGTTTGGCGTGGTACAGTAGAAAGACACCACAGTATCAGTAGCCTTTAATACTGTTTCGTTATAGACTGTGATGGAGTGTGCTGAAAGGAGTAGTAATTGACACTAAGTTTCATTCTGTGGTTTTCTATCTGAATGCCAGCACCTGTGAATCTGGACAGAAGTATGGAACAATGAAGGAAGAAGTTGATTGTGGAATAAATGGCGGTTTTTCTTGCCAGGCAGCTGAGGACAGTAAAAATCGGTGTGGCTCAAGCCTGTGAAGATAGGCCCCAGTTTCTGAAAATATGCGTCTTCCGTAGAAAGCACTGGTAACTTTGTGGGGGCATCAAGGTCTTGAATAAGAGTTAAACTCCACTTTAACTTACGTAACGTAACAGCACACTTTCCATTCTGCTGATACGGGATAATGTTGCCTACTTAAAACTTTTTGCAATTTAGAGTAGTGTTTAGTTAGAGATCATGTGTGAATATAGAGATCTGATGGGATGATCTAGTGGGATGTTTTATGTCTTGATCTCTTTTTGCCCTTACGTGCCTATGCCTGTAAATCTGTACTGAGGCATCAAGACCTGAAAACTGTATCTTTTTTTTCTGCATAGCTATAACAATAATCTCTGCACAGGCAACTTTTACTATAGTTGAAATGGAAAAGAATTAATCTTGGCATATGAGAGCCATTAATTTTTATGATCTTTTTAATATTTAGAACTGTGCAAGACTCTTCTGTAATTTATTTTAGGATCTTTTAAAAGCTAAAACAATTGCAATGTATTTTCTTCTAATTATTGAACTTTCAAATAAAGTTAATATTTGTAAATCAATTGTTCATGCATTTCTGCTGCAGTTTCTGTATTTCCATTGCTCTTCTGTCCTCTGTTGCATGTTCCTAGGCTGACCTTTTACCTCTGCTCTGTTTTCCTGAGCCAGTGGTAACAAAAGAACACTTAAACATATCAGGTATGAAATTTATTCTTCCGTGATTGCCCTATCGGGAGTGCGCGGTGTTCTTGACCAAAGCCTAGTGGAACCGAAGAGGTGATGGGCTTTTGCTTTCAGTCTTGGCTTCTGGTGTCTTATTCAGAAAAGAAACCCTGTTCTATAGCTGAAAGCCATGCTATTGCCTCAAACATATCTGCCTTTGTGCAGAGTACAGCAAGTTTCATTTATGCCTTTTCATCTATTGTTGTGCTCCTTGCTGCTTGTTTGCAACAGTCGTGCTGACCGGTTACCAAACCAGCGAAATGCAGACAAGAGAATCAAAAGAAGTCGTCGTGCTGACTGTTCATGCCCAAATACATTATTTATGGATACTTCTCAGAAATCTTTTGTAGGAGGAATGCGGAAGGGATAACCAGTGTTTGAACTCACTAGGGACACAGAGCTCTCCCTGTGCTAGGGTTTGGTAGTGCTGTAGATGTGCAGAGAGCTGGGTGAAACTGGGCTGCTGTCAGCTGCAGGGAGAATAGGAGCCTGCAGGCTGTCCCGTTTGCTTCCAATCTGTCCCCTTAACCTTGGTTATTTCTGATGCTTGTGAAGCTCTGGTGGAAGGAACTAGGATGTATGCATTCTTTTCCAGGTCCACTGAAAAAGCCTTCAAGGACTTTCAGGAAAAAAAAACCTTATGCTGCTTTATAAAGATAGAAGACCCTGCTAACTTCTGTGAATTCATGGGAATCCTGCAGTCATCTTCATGTCAAGCAGAATCCTTGTTGTAGGGATAAACCAGCTGTAAGAGTGCAAGACTGCAACAAACGATCTGTGTTTGATGAATGTATTATCTAAATTTCATCTTTTTGCTCTTTCCTTTCTGCTTCATTGGCATACACTCTGGACTTCTTAGCAGAAACTTCAGTTGTAAATCTTAAAATGCTGGAGGTAAGCCATGTGGCATGAGTGGAAAAATTTTGGTATGACTTTTTGGAGCAGACTAGTCTTGTATGCAGTTGAAAGCAATTAAGTGCTCACACTAGTTGTATTGAGCCATACTTTGGCTTCGGCTGAAGTCAGAGCGCCCTTGACTCTCGCAAGCTTTGCAGCATCTGTTTATGGTAGGTTTGTCAGCCAACTGATGGCTTTCTCCACATGAACTTCTAAGGGCAGAAAAAAGTTTAATTCATTCTGTGGGCATCTTTAAGACCTGCAAAGAGCAAAATACCCATATGAGACCCCAGGTTATTAGGGGAGGATTTTCAGGCATAGTTGGTGGTCTGGTGCTGCATCAGTTCCTCTGACGTTTCCCTCTCACATTTGCTGATGGTGGCTCTTTGCCTGGTAGAGACAGCACTGACAACAGGTTCTGAATGTTTGCCCTGTTTTCAGATGTGTGTAAGACACATTGGCTCTTGCTTATACGTGGCCTTTGGCAACCATTCTGTGCTCGCT